AATGCATAATGTAGGAATGAGCCTTGTTTAGTAATGTAAATCCCTCAGCCTGGCTGGAAAAATAATTCAATGCACATCAGTATTGCTTTCTACATCTGGGGGGAGGTGAATGCTTTACTTGATAAATGTAGGGGGTCTCAGCAGTCTTGTAGTCTGTCTATTCAGATTAAAGATGAGGAAACTGAGGCTGAGAAAAGTGAACTGGTTTGCCCCAGGGTTACACAGAGAATTTACTGTAGCCTCATGATTTGAACCCGGTCTTCTGAGTGGAATTTCAGTGCTTTTTACGTTAATGGTATTCTGAATCTTTGAGTAAATGCAAAGGCTGTTGTTTGTTTGTTCATTTATTTATTATTTTTTAAAATAATTTTTTATTTTTCAATGACAGTTGACATACAATATTACATCGATAGACTTCTAGGTGGGAGGGTTGAAGGTAATAGGAGGTAAACATAAACAAACCTGCCTTATCTGAACTGGACCTCAGGTCGTTAGTAGGAAGAATGAGGGCGAGGGAAGACAGGAAAGAACTGACAGAAATACCAGCAATCACCAGAAGATGCTGGAATAGGGCAAATGCCAGACATTTTTAAGATTACAAGAGATCGGAGCTGAGTCAAAAAATAAAAAAAATTCTTCAGGCAGAAGCAAGAGTTTGTGTGCGTAAAGGAAATAAATCAGAAATATTGTATTATTCATTCAGATGGTGGGATCTGCAGGGGCAGAAGAGAAGCTTGGTCCTAACAGATAACGACAACAAGCCAAACCATTCCAGTACAGTTTGGAATATTAAAATAAACTTTTTTTTTCTTTCAAAAGTATGTAAAGAGGACAGGGAGGAGGAACAGATAATGATTTAAACAGGCGTCTAATACATTATTTACATCATCAGGAGGAAAGTCAGAGTCAATAAAGTACATGTTCATTTATCAAACAAAATCCAGCATGAGATTAATATAATAAATACAGATGTCAATGAAATTGTGCCTAGCTCTTATTATTATTATTTTTAATTCTCACCCAAGGACATGCTTATTGATTTTAGCAAGAGGGGAAGGGAAAGAGAAAGAGAGAAACATCGAGAAGTTGCCTCCATACTAGCCCTGACCAGGGATCAAACCCGCAACCTAGGTATGTGCCCTGACTCCTGGGAATCACACCCGCAATGCTCCAACCAACTGAGCCACAGAGGCCAGGGCCCTAGCACTTATTTTTAAAGCTATGTTCCAAAAATATTCATGGGAGTTATGGCTAATTTTTATCAAATGGCACGAATAGACACTGGTAATGTTAAATTTTTGTGTTCTTGATTGTCACTTAATACTTATGACTCTAAGATTAGCCCCTGAGAAGTTGCTCATTTACTTTTGGTACTTATTGATCATTTAGGATATAAAGCTGTCAACTGGGACCTCTGTTATGACCATAGAAAATGTGATGGCCATCAGTCAATGATTATTTTTGAAGAAATGGGAGAAATGCTGTTATTCTATATTATACATGTTATATCATAAGCATAGTGTAATAAATATTTTTAAATGAAAATACAGACCTTAAAAGCACAAATTTTAAAGATAAAAATTTACTTAAGGAAATACTTTCGCATTGATAATAATTATATAACTTTTTGATTATTTATATAATCAAACCAAATTATTAGTTTCACCAATTTCTGTTATCAATTTCTTGTAAGACAGCTAGAATTTATAAATATTGATTTGAATGGTTTTTGGATTTAAGCTAGCTTACAAAATATTAATAAAAAAAAACCTTTCAGCTTTGGTAGAAATGTTAGGGCTCTAGGGTTTGATGGCAAAGTGACCTCCAAAACCATTACACGGCTTTCTCATCTGCAGAGTGTTTCTCAGTTTCTAGCACAAGCATCTTTCTTCCATCCCACCAGACTTGTCTTCCTGGTTCTAGTGTTAGTTCAAGACAGTGACAACAGGACATTCAACCAAGCACAGGGCCCTTCTGAGCCCAAGGCCCTGTGTAACTGCACAAGTCACACTCATAAGGCTGCTCTTGCCAGAAGTTGAGATGAGAGTAAAAAGAAAAAGGAATGATCTATTTTCCCATGTTTCCTACCCTCTTTCTATTCCACTCTTATCTATGTACTCATCAGATGTGACCATCTGTCCAGGGGTACTTTGTGCCAGTCAGCTAAGACACTGACACTTTAACTCTAGTCCCTGGAGGAAGGGCATGAGAGAGGGGTTGTATTACGCCAATGATGGGGATGGGGGTGGGGTTGAAGGTCTTCTGAACTGACCTAGGATAGAGAGGTTACCTTGGGAACCCTACAGCTTTCTAGCAGTGCATTAAAGCTGCTTATCTTCTCTGAATCTAATCTTTCACTGCTGTAAAATGGTGACAGCTACCTTGCAGAGTTATTGTAGGGATTAGAGGTAATGTGGAAAATACCTAGCACAGTGGCAGGTATGCAATGGGAGCACCATATACATTGCAGATATAGTCATTTTTTTGTGAATGAAGAGACTATTTGAGTGAGGAGGGTGAAAAGGCCTCAGGTCTCAGACAGGGCTGAGGATCTCAAAATGCTTGAAGAGCCTCATAAGAGCCGGCTGCCTCTCTGCATCCATCCTCAGTTCCCAAGTGCTTGGGAATGGTTTAAAACTCAGAACTGCATCTCCTTCCCAGGCAGGGCAGGGAACAATCTGTGGGAAGTAAGTGCACAGTAGAGTTCAGTCTCCGACATGGACAACTGCCAACTTTCACCCACACTGCGGAGATGAGAAAGCAGCTGTGGGGGACGTTAGAATAAGAGCTGCGGGGTCACTGGGATACATTAGGCTTGAAGATGCCCCCTTGTTCACCCTGAGATTTTGTAGTTTGTGTATTTTATCCAGTTACATTTCCATGATATACAGCCCAAACCATTTCATGTAGTTTTCCCACTTTATTTTGATTTATTGTTTGTTGTTTACAGTGTTATCTCCAATGACAACAATGGAATTTCCTTCCCTACTAATCTGGCCTGTTTCCATCTTGCCTGTTTATTTTAATTTCTTTTTTGGACTGAAACCTCCACATGACTCTGTGTTGTTTATTTCCTTACATGTATGTGTCAGCATCATTTATTAGCATGTCCACTCAGAAGAACTTTGGTCATTAATTATAAAGGTTCTGTTTCCTGGTTCTTAGTGGGAGGATATGAAGTGCTCCAGCTTTCTTAGTGCTGCAGATTGGGTTGCGTTAGCAGCAGCCTCATCACTGCTCTGCAAGCAGATGGCCTGCTCTTCGTGGCTTACAGATGAAATGTGAGGCGGAGAAGAAACTCCCCAGCAGAAGGCTCTTTTCTCGAATCCTCTGACTTATCAACCCTGCCCGGCTTATCAGTGTTGATTTCCATTTACTTTTATTTAGGCAGTAGTTTATGTGAGAGGACCTGCTTTTTGCAGACATGCCCAATTCCTTGAGGACATGTCCGTATAAACTAGTCTGCTGTTAACTAGTGAGCAGTTGCAGCTTGCAGTGTTAGCTGCTTGGGAGTGTATGATGAATGTTAGACTTGGCCCTTTCTTATGAAGAGCTTACAGCCAACTAAGTCAATAAAAAAGTTAAAGAGAAGAGGTAACTTGACTTATACATCTGTTACCTGAATATATTAGATCCGTTGCCTCATTTTCACTGGGTTCTCATGATTTAGTGAATTAACCAATTCATTAAATATTTATTTAGTACTTACCCTGTGTATGGCACCATATCTAGTGTCAAGATGCTTAAAAGACCATAAGGTGAAAATAGAGTTGAAAGCAAATAAATATAATAAAGTGTTGTCAGTGACACGATGGAAATCTGTCCAGAGTATATGTAGAGATTAACAGAGGGGGGGGGTGTTTCTTCTCTTGGAGTTGGGGTGGAGGGGAGGTTCACAAACAAAGGCAAAAGGTACCAGATATATTTGAGACCCACAAATACTTTCAAATGGCTGAAAGGCAGGAGGGCATGGTGAGAGAGGGGAGGTGGAAGAAGCCAAGCACAAAGGGCTTTGGATGTCACATTAAGGAGTTTGAGTTTTATTCCCTGGGAATATAGTATCAGGCAGGTGGAACGTCATCATTAGATTTGGGTTTTAGAAAAATTACCCTGAGAAGGTAGATTCGGGAGGACTTGAATGCAGGCGCAGAGATTCCTTAGGACAGCATGGTGCTGAGCAGGCATGCTGTGATTCTGAACAAGCCAATGGCAGATAGAAAGATAGCAAGGAAGTGGACTTTATAGAAGAGGTATCAGTGTTTAAATACTGTCTTTATAGCAACTGCTGATGAAACTGGAGCTCAAGAAAGTAACACAGCCAATAAATATTGAAGAGAATCTTCCTTNTCTTTATAGCAACTGCTGATGAAACTGGAGCTCAAGAAAGTAACACAGCCTCGGTACTTCCTTTTGCACTTAGGAAACACCCTTACTGTCACACACTATAGTGTGATACTCTGCACTGCGATTACGATTACTTGTTTATAACCCTTCCTGCCAGGATACACTAAGCCTCTTAAGGTTAAGAACCAAACTACAGAACTATTTGTGTATGCCCAGCGTGGGGCCTAGTGTAAACAAGTGTGCAATAGTTGTTTGATGCCGTAGCCAGTGCTTCCTCCGCATGCACTGCATGGCACGGAAATAGGGAAACATCACTCAGGCTCGTCTTATATCCACCCGCTTCCATCTCTCCTCCGGAAGGGCCAGGGCAAAGGGACAAGCAGAGGATGCTTTTTACTTTGCTTTAAAATTTATATCACTTCAGCCATCATCAGGATGTGTCTCTGCCTCCAGAAGCCTGTGTTAAAATACCAACAAAAAATACTTAAAATATAAAAAGTGGCTATGAAAGTTGTTGCTTTTGTGATACTGTCTTCGTTGGTCTCATTATTCACAAATCAAGCATGATAATTTGCTTTCATATCTCTTTTTATGTTACTTAGTGTTTTAACCTGGATCACACTTTACTCTTCCATACAGGTCCGTAATGCCTCCTGCCTGGCTCTTTCAAGATGGAGGGGAAACCTGTGGGAGAGCCGACTCAAGTGGTGTCTAAATTCAAACTTTCCACCAAGGTAGAAAGCACAGGACACTGGCTGGAGGAAGATCATGCTCGAATATGGGAAGTTTTAAAGACAGAGGAGGTAAGACAACCCTCAGTGACCAGCACCACAGGCCAGCCAGCTTGGAAAGTTTTTATTTGGGGGCCACAGGCACTATCATGACTGGAGAACAGTAAGTCAGGGTTATACACCTTGGACATTAATAACCCCACAGGGATTCAGCCAAAGGAGATAGCACTGAAATCTAGGCCTTAAAATTTACAAGTAGACATTCTCCTTTTAGAGTCCTACCAAACCTAATTAGGAAATCAAATCATGGGGAGAAAGTTGATAACTAAGGATCAATCATAACAAGGGGAATTATATAAATTCGTTGTTTGACAGCTACGTGTGTCAGGGCTCTTTGGTTGCAAGCAACAGACGTGGACTCTGCTAATTACAGAAGAGGAAATTATTGGAGGATGGTGGGAGGCTCACAGAATTGATGAGTAGTTTGGGACACTAGGCTTGGAAATAGGAAGGGAACCGAGTTAGTAGGAACTGCTCAGGGTACTACTCCTGGTATAAATTCCAAAGGGCTTCCCACCCTCTCCTCATTCTCACATTTCTCTGCTCAAGATGCAAAGCCATGGGAGAGAGGGGCTTACTGCCTAACTTAGTCACCTGTCTTTCCCTTCTATATAGAGAGAAAGATGCTGCCATGAGAAATCATTATATCAAGTCCTCACAGCACTTGTGTTTAGAGTCCAAATCTCACATTTTTACTTAACATATTTCTAAGGTTTTTAAGATTCAGCCACATTAATATGTATAGTAGTAATTCATTAATTTTCACTATTGAATAATATGCCGTTGTGTGGTTATACCATGGTTTATTTATTCATTGTTATGTTGATGGGCATGTCAATTATTTACAGGTTTTTTTGCCATTATAAACAATGCAACTATGAACATATTTATACATGTCTTGTGCCCCAGGGTAAGAGTGTCCCATGTGTTAGAGTTTTTCTAGTTTAATATCTGTTAGGTAATTTTTGAGTTGCATATGTACAAGTTCTGGTTTACAAGTTATTGCCATATTGTTTTCCAAAGTGGTACCAATTTATACTCCCACCAGCAGTGCACAAAGTTTTCCCTATTCCACATCCTTGTCAACTTTTGGAATTGTCAGATTTCTTAATTTTTCCAATCTAGTTGGTATAAAATAGAATCTCATTCTTTGCTCATCAGGTTTTTTGTACTTCAACTTCATCTCAGATCATTTTTCTTTTTCCTTTAGAATTTACTTTTCTAAGGCTCTAACTGTAGTAAAAGTCTTTTTTGTTTGAAAATGCTTTTATTTCGAGTCTACTCTTAGAATAATAGTTTACAAGGTATAGAATTCTAGATTACTTTCTCAGAGTACACTGAAAATGTTCCATTGTCCTCTGCCTCCCACTGTTTCTGTGGTAAATTAGTTGAAGTCTAATTTTATTCCACTGAATATGATACCTTTAATCTCTAATTATTTAGATCTTCTCCATATTTTTGCTGATTTACAGTTTTATTCTTCTGTGTTTAGGTGTGAATTTCTTTTTATTTAACCTCTTGGAATTCAGGGCCTCCCAAATATATTGATTGGACTTTTTCATCAGTCTGGAAAGATCTCTGTAATCTCTTTCTTTCTTTCTTTCTTTCTTTCTTTCTTTCTTTCTTTCTTTCTTTCTTTCTTTCTT